ATAAATAGATCAATGCAAAAGAATAGGTAGCCCTAAAAGACCCATACATACAGAGTCACTTGATTTATGACAAAGGCATCACTGTAATTCAATGGGACCAAATGGTCTCTTAAAGAATAGAACTATATTAATTAGATATCTATATGGAAAAAAATAAACTTTAACCCTTGTAACATTCACAAAGATTAATCCTCGATAAATTGTAGACCTAAATGTGAAAGGTAAAACAATAAAATTTCTAAAACAAAACACAAAAAATTTTCATAAACTTGGATTAAGCAAAGTTTTCTTAAATAGAACACCCCAAAAATACATTTACCATTTAAAAATGAAAAATTAGAGTTCACTAAAATTAAGAACTATTCATCAAAAAATAACACTAAGAGAGTGCTAAGGGAAGCCACAGATGTGAGAAAATATTTGTAATACAAGTATCCAAAAATGTGCTTATATCCTACAAATATAATGAATTCCAACAATTCAGTAAGAAAAAAATAAATATCCCAATAAAAATTATGCAAAGCACTTTAAAAAGAGACTATCCAACAGCTTAATAAGCACATGAAAAGTTGCTTGACATCATTAGGCATCAGGTAAATGCAAGTTAAAAACCACCACAAGATATTATTACCTACATATCCACCAAAACAGGAGGAATAAACAACAATCCAGCAACACCAGCACTTGGAATGCTCATGTACTGCTGATGCAAGTATAAATTGATACAACCATTTTGGAAACTGTTTGGAAGATGTACTAAAGTAAACACACATACACCCTATGACCCACCAAAAGACATGTCCAAGGATGGTCACAACAGCATTATTCATAATAGCCAAACCCTGAAACAATCCAAATGTCCGTCAATAGTAATGAATAGATATTAACAGTACAGTCATAAAATGAAATGAAAAAAATTCTGACCAAATGAAGCAACTAAATGAATCCCACAGACATGATGTTGGGTGAAAGTAACCATATACAAAAGAGTACTCCATTTATTTATATGAAGTTCAAAAACAGGCAAAATGAGGTAGAAGTGATAGAAGTCAGAATAGTAGTTTTCCTTTTCGGGGGTGGGAGGAAGATCAACTGAGAGAGGCATGGGGGAAGAAGTTAGGTTGCTAGAAATTTTCTGTATCATGATATGAGTAGCAGTTAAACAGGTATATACACATGTAAAAGTTTAATGAATGGTACTTTTAAGATTTTCACACTTTATTCTCTGTGAATTATATAAAACAAAACACACATATGCGTACAATCTCTTAAGACTTTACTTACTATATAATTTATCCTTCAATTTTTCCCTTTTAGTTTGACAAAGTATTTCTCCACTTGATAAAGAACATGCGATCATGAGATTTATCATATGGCAAACTTACTCTAACAGATGGAGAAAAACACCATCTTTCTTCAAAGATTAGAGTAAAATGGAGGCTTGCCTTGCACAATCCAACTATTTTATGCCATTAGATTACTTTTTTAATTCTCTAAAGCAAGGATATCAAAAAGCGGATATATCAGAAGATGTGAATGAAAAACAAATTGTAGTAAAATATAATAAGCTTCTAGAAAAATCCATAACAAAGCTTCTTTGATACTTTCTCTGGGATACAGAAGGAAATACAACATTTGAATAAAATTATGTGCTTCTTTGTATTTTAATATCAATAAGAACAAAGCACATAACAATCATTGTGCATTTATCATTTTGGATAACCAGAGCCAGCTAAAAGAGCAGATAATCTGTTGATTCAAGTATCAATTCTGAAATACCTATTTCTGAAAGCACTAAATACAGGTTACCTGCAAATTAGCTAGGGAAAAACTACACATGTCCCCTCTAAAGGCAGAGTTAAACACTATTACAGTACCCTTATTATATATAAAATGTCTGCAACACTTCTCTAGCTCTCCTACATCAACCCATGTAAAAGAGTATTTTCACCATTGTTTTAAATTGAAGAAATTTATAATTAATAATTAAGAAAGCTCTGAAGCATTATAGTAGTAGAGCCTAAATATACAAACTACCAATATAGAATGAAAACGGAAAAATCATTATAGATATTGTAAACATTAAAAAGAAGAGATCATGAACAATTTTATGTCAATAAACTTGAAACTGAGATGCATTTGACAAATTTGCAACTCACCAATGCTAAACAGACAGGCCTATGTCTATGAAA